CACGTTTATATTAAAAATTAAACCCGAATTATTCCAATTATAGAACTCAAGCGTCTTCATATAATCATCACATACTTGTCCTTTTTTTTTCCTCTCTTAGAGATTCAAAGTTTTTGTTTGCTTAAACCGGAGAGACACCCTCTCCTTTAATTTAGGTTTGTTTATAACTTCTACATTTGTTTTTGTTTATTATAATATATAAAATCCATAACCAATAAACTTAGTTTGATCTCATTTTGCAGTTTTGATCCTTCTGGGTTCCTTGAAAAATAAAAAAGCAATTCCATTCATTCATCTTCATACGTACAAGAATCCTTACGAGGAAGAGATCTTCCTAACGTCTTTGATCTTCTTCAACAGGTTCGTTCGCTTTTTCATCCACCAGAGTTATGGATTGATTCGGGTTATAAATGATTATTTGAACAGAGTTTGTTATATTTTGTAATGAATCCAAACAGGAAATAATTTCTGATTTTGGTCGAAGATGTTGGGAGATTTCATCATCAGGCTCCTTGTGTATGTCCTTTTACCATATCTCCTTCTCTTTTATTAATTGTTCTATAACAATATTCCTTTTGATTCATTACATTCTGTTGTTTTATGTAGATTATATAATAATGTATGTATGCATAATCGAAATGGTGGTAATTGCAGATTAATATTAGGGTACACATACCCGGCATTCGAATGCTTTAAAACGGTGGAGAAGAATAAAGTTGATATCGAGGAACTCAGATTTTGGTGCCAATACTGGTATTTTTTTTTTTTTAAATCACCCTTTTTTATTTGTTATCCACAAAATCCTTATTAAACATTCGTATATCAACAACTATACGTGTAAATTTTTTGTCATGGCAAAATTGATTTTAGTTCGGTGAAAGTTAGATTTTGTTTTTTGGTGTTTGGCTTGTTTAATCTTAAAACGACAGAAGACAACTTAATTCGGTTAAGGTTGGTGTTGTCTGTTAAAAAAATCAAAAATCTCTCTAATTACAATAATATATCCTACAAAGTCTTTGGTTTCCAACCATTATTATTAATTAATATATATTTAATATAAGAACTAATTGTAAAATTCTATTAGAGTATTTTATTGGCATCTCAGTGTATGTGATGCACGTTTTGATGTCAATATGTACTGGAAAATGCTAATTTATTCGACATTTGTATTTGAATAATTAGGATATTGTTGGCGCTAATTTCATCATTTGAAAGGGTCGGCGATTTTTTTATCTCATGGTAAGAAAAAATCCACTATTATTTATTTCATGCAAAATGTTTCTAGAACATTTTAAAATTCATTAAATAGTTGATATATTCAATTATTGTTTGCAGGTTACCGTTATATGGAGAGATGAAAGTAGTCTTCTTCGTATATCTCTGGTACCCTAAAACGAAGGTAATTGACATTTTGATTATTGGATTAATTAATGTTTATGGACTACTAAATATAAAATAAATTATGAAATGAAGGGAACGAGACATGTATATGAGACATTGTTGAAGCCATACATGGCTCAACATGAGACAGAGATTGATAGAAAGATTATGGAGTTGCGAGCTCGAGCTTGGGATTTCTTCATCTTCTACTTCCACAACTTTGCACAGGTCCTCTTTTCTC